ATTTTTTTTTTTTCATACTTGTAGATTTATGATATATAAAATATATCTCAAAAGAGGAACAAATATTTTAAATAATAGTAAATATTGAAACAATATAATCTGAAATATGATCAATATTCAACTTTTCTCATAGTTAAACTACAATTTAATTTATTTTCTTGTAATTGAATTTGGAAACAAAGATTTATATATATAAAATATATATATAAAATGCAGAAATGAAAAGACTTTAAAATGTGAATAATGAGAAGTCAATAAAATGTCATTATTTCTGTATTCTAGGCCTGATCATCTTATCTTATTTCAGATGGTTTCACTTCATAGACATCTGTTTCCCAGCTGTAGATGTTTTCAAAAACCTACCATAATCAATCAATCTGTGTTTGTCTTCGCTTCCGACGATAAGCAAACCACCCCGACAACAAAAACAACAACAAAAGCAGCAACAACAACGTAAATGTAATTCTTAATATTCTGGTTTTATTTTTAGATATCAATATCAGTCCTTTGGTCTCTCAATATCCACAACTGCCAGCTGGCGCTGCACTGCCACAGGGCACTGGCTTAAGCACCGGCTCACAGGAGAAGACATAATTCTTGGCACAGGGCGGCGATGGAACGCTGGGCGCAGCATATGAAACTGGAGCTGGCTGTTCTTGCTGCGGCTTCTCTTCTGGTTCCTCTGCTTCGTAGCTACGTCCGAAACCGCCGCGGAAACCACCGCCAAAGCCACCGCTGAAGCCACCGCCAAAGCCGCCACCCCGTCCAAAGTCTCCACGCCCAAAGCCGCCACGGCCAAAGCCAGGTCCGCCTCCAAATGGTGGCCTGCCAAACGACGGTCCGCCAAACGGTGAACCACCAAAGCCGCCACTGCCCGGCAAGCCAAAGTTATTCTCCACATTCACTTCCTGCACAATTTGCTGTTGACGTGGCTGACGCAGCAGCTCCACACTGTCCCCCAGCTGTTCCGGCGTATACAAGCGTACGGGTATAAAGCGATACAGCTGTCCCGTGGGACTGCGCACACAGCGCTCATTACATTGCCCCTTGGCCAGGGATAGCAGGCAAAGGTAGCTCGCTAGCAGCAGCGCAAACGGCGCCCAGTGGGTGGCGAACATGGTGATCTGATGGATACGGGTGGAGGTAACTGAACACCTGAAGTACTATGAAGCTGTAAGCTGAGACTAGCCAGCAGTTGGCTGCAGCCAGTTGGTTTTTATTAGTGCGAAAATTTGCAGCGTCAAGCGGAAATGGAGTTCAGGTCAAATAGCAGAGAGTGCTTCAAGGTGATTTGGCTCGGCTAACTGGGTTACTTGGCCAACATGGGGCCAAGGCTAATGGCGAGTCTCTTTGTACAATATAATAACACAAAAATTTCCTTTAAATACATTTCCTAAACAACATATGTCACCAGACACAAGTCGAACGCTATTCGGGCAAAACTTTGCTTAGACTTTCGACTGAATCTAGCTGGCCAACATCTGTTAGCCGTTTGTGTATATCTTATTACCAAACAAACTTTGCTTCAGCTTGATCGATTTAGGTTGCCAACTTTGTCGCTTATTTTGCAATCAACAATTCTTTTACTTTCTACACACACACACACACACCCAAAAAAAAGTCAAATCAAAACAAAATTTGCTCGGTTCAAAGACCTCAGCCATATGCAATAATAATTTTGATTTTTTTATTTGCAATTATGGTAAAATTWTAGGGCTAGAGTAAGGGAGCGAAAGTGCTTAATAAACATTTTTCTAAATATACATACAATATATATATATTNTCTCTAGTACTTGAAATGCGTTTTTTACAAATTGGGGGAGAAGGGGGCGTGGTATCCAAAATCTGTAAATTACAAAATCTTTGTATCGATTAACTTTATATACAACACAAATTTGAAGACTCCAGGTCTAAAAATGTTCAAATTAGGCTAAAAAAACAAAATCAATTTTTCGATTATTCTCGATAAAAAAGTTATCGGACGATTTATCGAAAAAATAAAGCAAACTCGTACTGCGTATGGTACACACGAGTATGCATGCCAAATTTCAGCTCTCTAGCTCTTATAACTTCTGAGATCGACGCACTCATACGGACGGACGGACGGACGGACGGACGGACGGACAGACGGACAGGGCTATATCGACTCAGCTCGTCACGCTGATCAAGAATATATATACTTTGTGGGGTCTGCCACGCCTCCTTCTGCCCGTTACATACTTTTTCACAAAACCATTATACCCTGATTTCCCATTTTCAATGGGTTCAGGGTATAAAAATATACAAATAAAATATTTAAAAAATTATCATAATATCTAAACATTATATAATTGGATAAAAAATAATGAGTACGTCTCAAACAGAAAATAATAGAATTTTAAACTTATAAACTATCGATCAAAATTAGGGAAATTAAAACTAAGATATTTTTTACATTTTTTTAAAATGATCAGAAAATTAAAATAAAATACTTAAGCACTTAATGATTTTATTTTAAAAGGGTTATATGTCTAAGATTGAGATGTCTGACTAAGACTAAGCAATATATGTATAAAAATATAATACCAAATTTATACTATCTCTCTTTTATTAAAAATAAAGGAGAAATTCTTTTGGATTTTTTTTATAAAACAAAAAAATATATATACAAATCAAATTAAGTAAAAATACATATTTTATCTATTTAATATTTGCTCGGAAACTGCAAAACATTTGTAATTCAATTAAAAATGAAACCGTATTAGACTTTACATCCATATGGAAGTTTGCCTTATGTTTCATATTAAGCAGAAATTGTTTTTGCACTTGGGAAAAGCCAAAATCGAATATTTCGCTGTTTAATTTAAGTGGAATATTGATATTTATATCCAGCTATCGAATAACAATTTGAAACAAACAATTCAATAGAACAGCTGTGATAGCAGCAATGCTGTGGAGCTATACAGTTTCGAAATGCTGAAAATACTTGAGTAAAACATTTGCGACTATAGAAAATTCGTTTTTATGCATTAATCTTTATTGTTCTTTTTTTTAGTATTTTCTTTAAGCATGGCAAAGATTTTGGTTTCTCGGCAGCTCGGCAAGCCGTATCAGATTCAAGTCCTCAGATTCTTCGTGTGTTCTTCTAGTAACCGTAGCCGTAGGCCTGGGGCAAGTAGGCAGCGCCGTAGAGGTTCTGCTGATGCTGGGGCACGCCGTAGTTGGGGGCAAGATAGCTGGCCACGGGCGAGGAGTAGGCACCGGCAGATCCGTAGCCCTGAGATGGAGAGCTGCATGGCACTGGCGCCAGGTTGGGCTGGCAGCTGAACAGGTAGTTCTTGGGGCAGGGAGGAGCTGGCACACTGGCTGCGCCGCCGGAGCTGCCRCCGCCATAAGCGGACTTGCGTAGGCGGGTCAGATCACCATAGCCCTGGTTATCAGACTCAGATTCCTGGTTGCTTATAGAGCCGGCGGGATTGGCCAAAGCGGAGCCAACAATGGCGACGAGGGCGAAGCACACGAAGAATTTCATCTTGAAGTTGTTGATTCTTTTGTTGTTACCAAAGGTGACTGATGCCAGCTGTAACCCCACACTCGGCTTATATAGCTAAACTTTGTCAACTTGGCATAAAGTCGACAGCCAAGTGACTTTGACTAGTTTGACTTTTACTTTTGTCTTTCGCTTAATCAGCTATCGCTGATCACTCCATAAATCGCACTAAATACTACATAGTAATGCGGTAAAGCCAACAAGATGTGCCGACATTTGCATTTCGTTGCATTGGATTAGCCCATCATTTTTGTGGATTAATATATATATTATATACATTGATATATATACATATGTATTATAGCAATACTTATAATAATAAAATATCTCTTTCTACATCTGCATATATTTCGACTTAAATCTAGATCTATACTAGAACTATTCTATATATTCTATAGTTTCTATACAGTCATACATTTATTTAAGCCAACTCCTATAGTTATTTGCATACCCATTCACACAGTAAGGAGAGTATATTGGTTTTATGTAACGTTTGTCTTGTTGCTCGTCCGTCTATCTATCTGCAAACTATATGTTTAATTTGTGTTGTATATAATTAGAGCCTGAACCCATTGAAAATGGTAAATCAGGGTATAATGGTTTTGTGAAAAAGTATGTAACTGGCAGAAGGAATCATCGCAGACCCCATAAAGTATATATATTCTTGATCAGCACGACGAGCTGACTTGATATAGCCCTGTCCGTTCGTCCGTATGAGTGCGTCGATCTCAGAAGTTATAAGAGCTAGAGAGCTTAAATTTGACATGCATAATCGTGTGTACTATACGCAGTACAAGTTTATCTTAATTTTCCGATCATACAAAGGAAACTATTTAACAAATAAATTCTCATAATATTGCCCACACTGCAGCGCAGCC